ACTAAATATTTCTTGAAGCCATCATTAATAACTGTAAAATCAGAAAGCAGGGCTTGATCTCACCACTGCAGTGGATTATGAAATTTCTGATGGCTGTAGTAGGTGAATTTCAAAGTAGGTCTGTTGTTGATTAAAAGATTTTGGGTTTATGTCTCTATGCGATGCTTTTCTTTAATAGTTTTCAAGTGATACTGTTAAAATATCTGACATTCTGAGTTTGACTTCCTCATGAAAGTTTCTTTTGTTGAATTTCATTTCATATTGGACCACATAAAGCGTAGTTAACGCTACAATAGTACAGCAATATTGCAGTCTGTGTTGTGAAGTAAAGATGCTTTTTGAAAATGGAATGCTGTGTTATTTCTTACAGACCAGGGAGAATTTGTGAGGCATATCCTCGACATCAACTCACAGTCATATTTTATGTGATCTTTCCACAGAGGACCTGAAGATCTAATGCTGAAAATGTGTCATCAAGTAGCTAGACCAGTGATTCCCAATCCGGTCCTCATGGACCCACAGTCGGTCCGTGTTTTTGCTCCTTCCGAGCTCCCTGCCAGACTGTCCATATTTTTGCTCTTGGTAGGGGCCTGTGATGGAATAAAAACGTGGACTGTATGTGGGTCCCCGAGGACTGGATTTTGAAACATTGAGCAAGACAGTTAAAACACCACAACATTTGACTAGCTCTTAAACGTTCATGGTCAAACTCACAACGAGCAAAACCAGTTAGCATCTTCCTGATATATATGAAAATTGTTGCTCCAGGGTGATGTAGCGACCTTCCATTTTGGTTTGATCTTAAAAAGTCTCAGAACACTTTGCCAACAAATAGACCCTTTGGTCAGTGCTGCAGTCATAATAAAGTTATGTTGATATAACTGAGCCAATGGAAAATGAAAAGGAAAGATTCGAGGTGGCAGGTGAGGTGTGGTGGAGAGCCTCTGGTCTGGCCCTTCCTGGAGAGGATTTAAAGAAATTCTGAGGCATAATTGGAACTGGTTCTGAATGATGTTTGATGGGTGGCCAGCAGGGTCCACCATGTCAAATTCTGCAGAAAAGGCTAAGTGGATAATGGAGGTTGAGGAGATGGAGTTCCTGAATGAGATGTGTTGGGTGCAGAGAGGAAGGGAGAACAGCTGAAGGCCAGGTTGCATGGGGTCGATTAGGTCGTCTTGGAAGAGAGATGACTGTAGCGGCAAGTGTGGTTAGAGAATTTAAAAAATATGCATGTCAAATTGTTCCTCGCCTTTCTGCGTGAAGTCTAATTTTTCGTGGAAACTCAAAATGAAGTTATTGCTTAGTCCCTTCACTCCTATTTGTGCCAAACGTCTCTTTTTAAGTGGGTGGAAACTTCGGCTGAATCTGGTTGTTGGAGGAAACTCGACTCTTGAGGTTTTGGAGAAGCCCATCTAATGTAATTCAGTGTTTTCCATTTTCGTTCAGCAGTCTACAGGCGATTAATCAACGTATGCTAGAAATTGGAGAGTGACACCAACACTTCTTTAGTTTATTTATTTTACGTCTCCCATCAATTTTGGAAATGTGTCTCTTTCTCAACATGTTTGAGCCAAATGAACATATTGCTCAAAAGAGATTGTATATCACTTACATTTTCAAAGAGATGGTCTTGTTTTGTGTGTTAAGTGCCGCCAGGTCAGGCTTGGAGAGCGGAGGTGCGGCCTGACAGCTCCAGGTTTGCGGTTTCTGATTCTGGGCCTGGTTCAGAATCTGCGCTAAACTCTTCTGTTTTTACGCCATACGTCCTGCACGTTGCAGGGTTGATTCAGTGTATCCCCCACCCTGATTGAAAAGTAGTTACTGGTTATGCATCAATGTTTTCCCACATTATTCTTTTACCATACAGGCTATTTTGAGCCTGCAGTCCATATCGGTGTTAATGTTGTGAAGGTCCATTGACGTTTTCATAAAGACACTAGTTCAATCCAAGTTAAGTTTAAGATCACTGTATCGATATTCAATTCTACGCGGTGCAAATATCAATACGGAACAAACTGTAACATTAATAGTCATTAGTTTACACAGTATATCACCGATGTAGGGAATGGAGGGCAGGAACAAATGGATCACTGAGGTCGACACAAGTCCAGTTAATGATAACTTTCACTTAGGGAATACAGCATTTGTGTTTTGTGGGCAAAGGCTAGAGGTCTGTATTCGAGAAGAAAAAGAGTATGAGACTGATATGGATCTCGTTCCTCCAATTGGAGTGAAATAGGGAAAAAAGGGAATGACTTTGGAGAGGGACCCTGAGGGAGTTGTGGTCTGGCAAGCAAGCAGGGCCCAGGAAAAGCAGACATTCTGTCTCAGCGTCCTGCAGGCATGGTCAGTGAAACCCAAGGTGAAAGGAGCCGCAGGTCGCCAAGTCTGGAGGCGGAGTCTGGAGGGGTGGTCGGTTGCCAGTCCTAAGGAGCACGACAAGGTGGAGTCCTAGAAACAAGGCCAGATGGAAAAGTGAGCAGGTCCAACTCGAAGGGAGCAAAATGATTGACGGTGTGGCAGACCTTTTCGTTGTCTCTGCGTCTTATGATTTCCTGAATTATTAGTCAATGAGGGGACCAAATGTTCACCACAATGTAATAAAAGCCCATTATTTTGATGTTGTGGGGACCATTTTTCAGGTCCTCACAAAGATCTGTGAAAGCAATCGAAAAACTAAAAATGCCAAAAGTCTCGTATTTCGTTTGATTACTTATGGGTAAGGTTTGGGCTGGGTAGGCGTTAAGGTTGTCATGTTGGGATTAGAGTTTTCCCCATAGAAATGAATGGAGATTCCCCACAAAGAATAATGACAGACCTGTGCATGCATGCGTGTGCGTGCGTATGTGTGTGTGTGTGTGTGTGTATGTAGTATGGACCTTTCCCTCTTGCCTGTATACTCCAAAAAAAGCTGCATTTATATTTTACCACAGTAATTCTGGACATTTTCTGGCAGAAAATCTGAACAAAAGAACGATAATTGGGCAACTGCTCGGTTGAATTACTTTATAACCCACACAGCTGGTGCTTTTTGGGCCGGAATATTCCCAAGGGGGAAAAAAACTGCAAGTCACTCTAAAATCCATCTGTGTGTCCATCCATCCATCCATCCATCCGTCTTCCAAAAGCACTTCTTCGTCTTTACTGCATTGGCTACATGCCCAGCAAGATAAATATGTATGTGTGACACCATGAGCTGCGTGACAAAAGAAAGCTTATGGTAATTTGGTACAACATACTGGAACACAGGAATTTTTTCAGCTGAATACTGGTGAGGAGGTGATTTGTCTTGCTGTGTCTCCCTTTCATCATCATTCCTGATTGGCAGTGGAGTGCTTTTGATTGACTCAGAAGTCTGGCGTAGATAATTCATTTCTTTGCATTGCAATCTCTTGACAATCTTTCAGCTATTGATGGGTTTTCCGATAAGAACAAAGACATTGTCTGTCGACTAACTCAATCTCTCTGTGCCACCTGGGTCTTTCTAAGAACAGTAACCTCACCTCACCCCACCCCAAGCCCCCATGTATTCATACTGGGAATTTGTAGACAATTACGGGACTAATCAGAGAGAAATGAACATATATAGTGGTCAGTTAAGACATACTACTCAAATTACTCCCAATGCCACATGGTTCATGGCTGTCCTTTCTTGCTTTGTCCTGACTTTTCTTGCACTTGCAGGTCGTGTTTCGTCCTGAGGCTCACTTGGTCAGCTAAAGCAGGCCAACTCCTCAAAGTTGCCTTAAAGTACAAGAGAATCAAATTCATTTTGCACGGTGCCAAATAACTCTGACTCCCATGCAGTCTTCTAAAACCCCTGGAAGTCAAACCATTACCCAATGTCCCCTGTGACTGCTACAGCTTTTTGGGAAAGCTAAGTGCGATCATTAACCACTCACTCTGAGGGGACCTGACATCACACTGAGGAAAAATAAGACAAAATGCAAGACAGTGCGGAACTGGTGCAGGAGATAGATTCACTGGGGATTCTTGCTTGTGTCTCTATGAAAAAGAACAAGCTGAAATCTGTATGGAGCAGCTACTTCACCAATCCCTCAGACTGACTGCTTAGGATCAGAAGCCCCACAGAACTCCTCCAAATTGGCATGAAATTATATATCCCACTGCTCAAGATAGCAGAGCTTCTAGACGGCCATGTTGGGTTTTTTCCCCGGAGGCATTGGAATGAAATACACACACTTTGCAGTTTTAGCTCGTTTGAGAAAAGTTCACTCTATACAGGGATGTGATCTCGGATTTGTCACAGTCACTCTGTAACTAAGAGCCTAAGCCGATTGGCGGATGCCAAGAAGTTCTGGTGTCAGAATGAATGGGACTCGGAGTTTTGCTTTTTTCTTGTGTATGTGGCTCAATCCTCAGTCCTTTGCATAAATTGTAGATACTTACAGTATAATGCTACAATTGATCAGATTTTCTTGCTTTAAAACAATGCTGTTGTCCATATGCAACCATTGACGAATATAAGCTGAGAATGTGGTGTCTTCAGGTTAAGACACAACTGAAAGAGACTATAACATCCATCCATGTATCAGTCCATCAGTCTGACCAGGTATTGTCAGAACAGCATGGAACTGATTATGCTTGATTGCTTATCATTAACAGTTTGGATTATAATAAAATTCAGATTATTCAGATTTCAATTTTGGTGAAAACTCAAAATAAACCACTTAAACTGTTTCCTGCCCACTGGCATTTGTCCTGATTGCTGATGTACGGTTGATGATGTACAGTATACTTGTTGTTGTAATTGTAGTCCCTGATATCTGTGCGATATATAATCATCGCTATAAACAAGCTTATCTGACATGCAAAAATGTTTTATTAGTGTTCTCTGAAATGTCCACCTAATATTTCCTCTTATGGAAATACGGATCTTTGGAGACTTGGAGAAATCCAGATCTTTCATCAAGAATTTTACCCAATCTGTCTTCTCAAGGAAAGGATGAGTCCAGACCGAATGAACATGATGCAATACGCCAGATATGATCTTAGTTTATTTCTTTCATTGGCCAAAACAAAAGACACAAGCTTGATGGATTCAGCGACTTTCATCATATTAAATATACAGCTGCAAACAAATGGCACTGAAGTGGAAATTAAATACACATGTATTAAAGTGCAAATAAATCACAAGGTTCAATCATGCTTAACATATGAACTTCAAAGAAAGAAAAAGATGAAACAAATGATTCTGATGTCATTCATCACTCAGTGTGGAATCAAAGCATCGTGACGACAGTTAGCGATGTAGAAGAATCTGATGGAAGTGGCTCAAAAATGTAACACCTACTCGCAAGTGGGATAAGTGATGGGTTTCAAGTCTTAATAGGAAAGAAACAAGTACCGTAGATTTGCGCAGCACAGGGAGCCCAAAGCCCAACCTCTTCTGCAAATATGGATACATTTACTAGGTTCTGACATAGTTCCTCAGCCTAGGAACATGGGTGCATTGGAAGCTGGCGTAGACACTCTGAGCTTCTTTGACTGCAATGCAGGCATATGCTTCTGGCTCTTGTCTGCATTAAGGTCTTGAGCCACAGAAGACAATCAGAGGGATGTTTTTATGTTTACTGGCTTCTATTAAATCGCCCCCCCCCCCACCAACACCCTAATGTAGCTGTTATAAATTGCAGCAAGTACTCTAGTAAGCGGTGACCCAGACTGACCACATTATACATGTTTCTACCAGTTTCACCACCCAACTGACCAGCAGAACCGACTGAGCTTGGGCTCCCTAACCCCAATACAGACATTGAGATATAAGATACATTCTCTAAGGTTCACCAAATCTTATAGACCCTTGATTTATAGAGTCAAAATAAAGTGGTGAGAAAACCTTTCTGAAGTTACATAATTTCACCAGGAGGTGGCAATCTGTGTGTCAAAAAATACCATTGGAAAAGAAGCAAGACTACGTAGAAAATGAACAAGGAAAAAAAAAGGTCCACCTATGTCATTTTGTCGCATCTCATCGATCAAAACAGTCTGCACCAAAAACATATGGAAACAGGTGGCCAGTTAAAGCCTCTGACCTGCGAACACAATGAGCTGAAGTATGACACCATTAGGTCACCCTGGCAGCGGTGGCGTCGATGCGGGGCCCAGGAGCGTCACTCAGCCGGGGTGAGCACGTTGGTTTAGCAGCAGCTGTCGAGTATCGGGCTGTTTCGGCGTTTCGCAAAGGCAGAACCACCTGCCAACCCTAACCGTTGTTAAAATAAGCACAGTAACCACAACCCATTTGGATCTACACAACCTAGCTCCTCATAATCATCCAGCAGACACAGTTTCTCCTCTGATACTTCAAAGTTAGGTTTACGAGCTGAACAAGTTGACTTGTGGTTGACTTTTAACAAGTGCTGGAAGTTTAAATGCCCTTATATAGTGGTCATAAGAGATGCAAAGTGCTTATTAAAGTGAAGCTATATCTAAATAGTCTCCATGTTTACACACAGAGCTCTGAACATTTCCTGTTTATATACATTTTTCTTTATAACATATACATCTTGGCTACTTTTAAGCAATGCTTTAACCTGATAACAATATAGGGAAAACTGCAATTCTATACTTGGTAAAAGAAAAGGGGAGGAAACCTTAATATTCACTGTGTTGGTGTGAATATGGAGGCGTCTACTCTACCCACATACCACAGGAAGGCACTAGTGGATTCACACGGCCACAGCTGTAGTATGGGTTTAAGTGCAGAGCCCCATCTTCAGAGATTATTGCATAGTGTTGTGAGTTATTTACACTTTGCACATCATTTGGTATTCTGACACAGAAGCACATAGTCTTCCCAAGCCTTCTTCGTCCTTACACATAAATTTCACGACTCCCTAACTGACCCGAGCGAGAGCTTAGCATAGTGCTTGCCTGTGATGTACAGTTTTAACAAACTGTATCCGGTAAGATCGCTTTGGAAATCATCTCCCCCAATCCCCAGGGGCAAACTTTCACGAGAGACGATCACTTTAAATTGCATAGTGTCAAAATTGATCCAGCAAACACTGTGCATTTTCACAATTCCAGATAAATAGCATGGGGTGCTTGTACAGTATGACGGCTAATTCGGCTGACCTCTTCGCATGACTGGCCGTGTTTGGAACCTTACGCAGGAGTACAAACAAAGTCCTCGACAAAGACAGTCTTTCAGAGCTAAAGGAATACGTGAAACATATGAGTCTCTCGACCTCCTCCACACATACGTAAGTTCCAAACCTCGCTAAGCTGTTTCAGGTATGGTCCCATTTAACACTAGGGAAAAAAATCTCCTGACTAGCATGGCTAATGTGTTCCCCCATGACCAGCATAGAGTCATAACATGCATCCTATTCAGTCAACTCAGAAGACACCTCAGACTCTCTTTAAGATTCACCGTGCCCCCCAAGAAACAGAGAGCCACAGCCAAACCTTTCTTTAAAATCTGTAACTTATTTCTAGCATACAAAACGAATAACCACAGCAACTTAATAAAATAACAAATTAAATAATATAGTAGGAAAATAAATATTAATAGTATTCCAAAAAGGCTTTTAAATATTTGTTATTTTCCCTCCTAACAGACACTGGAAGTCAGTATTGAGGAACCAGCTTCTCCGGGTCAAGGGATCATGTGGTTTTTTAATCCAGAGAAGAGGTTTACATCTCCAGCACTGACTCACTCACCAGTTATGCTACAGATTGCACATTGAAGAGAACATGCTTTTTAAAATTTGTTTCCTGGTTGAATTTGGAGATGTGTTTCATTGTCCACCCTGTTTGTGCACCATAGGGTTTGGGGAAAATAAAATTCTTGATGTGACATTTGTGCTACATGTCATTTTTTTTAATCACCACCCCAACCTTTTCCAGCATGTTTAGAGATATTTAGTTTGACGCCGAGGGGGATTATCTTCATTTTTATTTATTTTTTTGGTGTTCTGCAATAACCTCTAAAGTTGCTAGGATTCCCATCTTTCCAAAAATAAGAGGGAAAAATAAATAAACCCTGTCTGGTGTGAAAGTCCAATGGCTCAATTACAATCATAGAACAACACAGGGGGACAGATGGCTCTTTATAGTCCAGCACAGCTAAATGATAAGGGCTTTAGGGACTGATGAAATGCTCATCGAATGTTCCTCAATGCATTTTCTTTTACAGTGTAGGCCAATTACCCTAAATATTCAAATAGTTATCTCTTTTGCTTTTTTCCACTGTTGTAATTGTACTATGTAAGAAATACTCCATACCATGAGTAAAATGATCTTTTATAGATATGACTCTATTAAATATAAAGTAGTCTGACCCTTCTTTTTGTTTGTTTTTTTAAAATATATAAAATACATTTTATAATCGAATGCATGAATACACCTGTTGAACCAAGAGTAAACTCTACATCAGTGGCCAGATACTCAAAGGATGCACTCATATGCTATCAATATATAAGACTGAAACACAAGCAATATATATACTTTTTTAAAAGGTACTTGTTTTCCAAGTTTGGAAAGGAAATGTCCTCACACACCCAAAGGAAGAGAGCACTGTGTTTTTTTTTCCCCCACAGGATTTGCAGTGTACGCCGCATATGCACTTGAAGACGACTTAGGAGTTGTCACCGATAGTGCGCTTCTTGGTGTAGACGCTGGCCAGGTCCCTACTTCGCAGGTTGGGGTGAACCTTGAGCATCTGTGGGCCCGTGGGCCAGCGCCAGCTTCCTCGGGCTTCTATCGCAGTCGGGGCCGTGTCCTCCCCAGATAGGCAGGGCTTGCTCTGCAGCAGCTGGAAGAGCATGGCCATCTCCGGGCCCATCCGGGAAACAAGGCTGGTCCTCACCAGGTCCACGGTCTCCTCGTTACACTCCATCAGACTCTGCAGGAGCTTGCTGTAGAACCTGCGAATTGGGAGGGGCCGCAGTTAAGGTCGGCTGGTGGGATGTAGCAAGGCTCCACAGATTTCTGGCGGGGGGGGGTGGGGGTGGGACTCACCGGTTAGGGAAGTGGCTGGGCAGCTGAGCCACGTCAGCAATGGCCTCCGGGTTGGAGCGGGCCACAGTGCAGATGTCCAGCTTATTGTAGCACTCCTCCTGCACCTCAGACACCATCCTCTGGATGGTGGAGCAGCGGCGAATGGTAAGGAAGACCTTGGAGGTGATGCCGCTAGCCATGCATTTCAGGCTTTCCTTCACGAAGGCTTTACCCTTCAACAGATATAGAAAGCAGCGTCATAGAGCAGCAACTCTGGGGCCTCAGGTTACTAACAATGAGGGAGGCCTCTCAGTGTCTTTGGGAGAAACACAAATTCCAAGCCGCACTGAGACTGAAGACCAAGCTACCGCTCACACAGAAGACGGCGTGTACCTGAGTGTCGAATTTAGCAGCACTGTAGAGGAAGGACTTGCAGATTTCATGCATGCCATCTGTGTCACAGGTGGAGTTCTCCAGACAAGCAAAGGCACTGCAACCCACCTGGAGGGCGCTGTTGAGACAGCGTGCCACATCTGCTGCGGACAGGAAGAGGCACGTCAAGAAGATAAGAGAAGCCCAGTCATCCTACATCTACCAAGCTCCAGCACCTATCTGACGCCAATACAATCAGCCTGAAACTTTTCGCAGGTTGAGATCTTGGGAGCCGGTGCTGGATTTGTCTCTCTCTCTCTCTCTCTCTCTCTCTGAACGCTGCCCTCACCTACTCCACTGATCGACTTGATTGAATCAGCTGCAGTTCAGAAGAGTTCAGCGTCCTGCAGAGCCACCGAGGACCAGAGAGGCTGTGGTCTAGACAAGGCGGCATAATGATAACCTCCATCTCAGTTTAACTCAAATTTGACAAATGATGCATTTGCTCCCTCAGACACAATAAGCAGCAGGCTAAGAGGAATCAAGCCCAGCTATTCATTAACATCATCTCCTTGCAATGCATCTTACACGAGTCCCTCGTTTTCTATTTTTGGAGTCTCGCTGCAGCATCCTCAACTATACATATAGCAGTGTGTCTCCCGCTAACTTAGTGGCAAGCTAGTTAAGGTTTGCCCTACAGATGAACTGGAGCTGTTCTCAGGGAGGTGGGGGAGGCACCATGTTGGACTGGAACTTTGTGCTGACTGCCGTTTCTGGCTCGAAACACACTGCTCCATTATGCTCATGTATGACATGACAGTTACATCGACAATGACAAAATGGCACACGGGCGTTTCATTAGCAGAGACGCTAAAGCGTAAAGGATTGTTTTCTCTACCTGTTTAAGTTCCTGCCTCCTGAACAAAATCTGTATTTTCAAAGCAGACCCACAGTGGTGCATGTGAAAGAGTGACCAGGGGTTAGTGTTTGTAGCCTTTGACAGAATCGCAACACAGTGTTAATAGAAAGACAACAATATGGCAGGGGTATTGAGAAATTGTTCCATCTGATACATTCTAGAGAGACTGGAGAAAATTGACCTTTGTTGAAATGAGATGACATTATTGAAGGCAGAATTTATTACAAGGTTTCCATAATGGCCTCAGCTTAGGATAAGGAACCAGGTTTCATGTTGATATGCACTGATAAATAGCCTAGTTTGAAAAAGCTGAATCATTGTTGTTTGTGTCAGGATATTGCTACAATTGAATGTTATTAAAATAATACAATCAAGCATCTCATTGTAGAACTGCTGGTCAAACAGTTGACAGGTTTAAAACTGTAAGTAAAATGTCTTTCAGCAAATCACTAGTCCAGGAGCAAATAGAATGGTTAAAACACATTTTGCATCACATTTTTTAAATCTCATCAGAATACTTAGTGAGGCTGAAGACCTAGCCCCTGTGTCCCCCTAGCCCATGTGTCCCCCTAGCCCCTGTGTCCCCCTAGCCCCTGTGTCCCCCTAGCGCATGTGTCCCCCTAGCCCCTGTGTCCCCCTAGCCCCTGTGTCCCCCTAGCCCCTGTGTCCCCCTAGCCCCTGTGGCCCCCTAGGCCAGTGTTTCCCAACCTGATCTTCAGGGTCATGATCCACATTTATGCTCCTAGGTGAGCATCACTGCTGGCACTATTAACAGCCTTTGCTCATTTTGAAATATTGTCCCAACTTCACTTACAATTTTTTTTTGGTCACATTGTTCTAACCTTAGAGTGTCCTTGACATCGTTCCCTCCCCCCACATTGTGACAGCACGGCACCGCCCATCTGAGACAAAGTGAAATCGCCTGGCAAGCCGGCGCCCCTCAGAAAGGCGCCCCACACCGTGCACGTCCTGCTCTGTGCCAGCACCGCAGAGTGGGCGTTACTCAGATGAGTGACAGAGAATGATCTTGCATTTCTGTCACTATCTGAAATATCTGTGGTGCCCCTTAAACAATGCCAATCTGAAGGGTAGGTAAGAAGCTCTAGAAGGGTATAGATGGATAGATTGATAAATAGATGCATAGTATGGTACAGTATAACATAGTACAGTATAGAATCACTATACACTATACTATAGTGTATAGTATAGTATAGTATACTATACTATACTACACTATACTACAGTGACACTATACTATAGTGTCACGGGGGCTGTAGCTTACATTTCTGTGTGAAATGGACTCCCCAGGGGAAAAACAACATTAAATTGTTCCTCATAGTCCATTTATGTACCTACCTTAAAAAGGTACAATTTGTTACCCTTAAAGGTACAACTGCCAGATCTTTGAGGGTACAGCCTCAGTGACAAAGGTAGAAATTGGTACCCTTTTTCCTGAGAGTATAGTATAATATAGCACAGTGTAGCATAGCATAGCATAACATAGTGTAGTATAGTATAGCCCAGCATAGCACGGAACAGCAAAGTATAGCCTAGGATAGCATAGCATAGTGTAGTATAATGTTCCTGGAAAGGTTTTTCTTCATTTGTACCCAAGTTGCATTGACAATACCTAAATGGCACACACATTGCATTAGCAGGGACCCAAAACTGTAAGTGATTGTTTTCTGTATTAGTTTAATTTTCTGCCCCAAAAACAAAATCTTCATTTTCAGAGACCTGCAGTGGTGCTTTCATTGTTTGTATAAAAGCCGGAATCCCAAAGCTGGCTCTCTGCACCTGTTCCAGAGTAGGATATGCACCAGCTTCTCCCTTGGCTGCTGGAACAGGGAACCTGCTGACGCCAACCTGAAAATGTGTCAGTGTAACACCTCTCCTTTTGGGGGGGGTGGAATGGGTTTCAAAACACGACTATGACGTAACAGGAGAACCTCTCGTCAGGGCTCCCCTCACCCTAACCCCACAGAGGGGACCAGGCAGATAAGATCTAGCTTTACAGCAGAACACACTCATTGGGCTAAGGTACCATCTCTGGCAGGGCCTTGAAAGAAGGCTTGTTCCTTTTATAGACCTCCATTGTGTGACATAGGAAAGCGAGCCCGTGATACAGACCATAATTATAAGTGGATCCTTCCTGATGTGTGCTGACTGGCCTGACAACTTTGAGGTCAAGTGTATCATGAGCTGCTGAATCAATAGACAATGCAACATTTTCTACATTAGTTGTTCACTCACTCGTGCTTGTCTAAAACCCAGCAATGGGTTTGTGTTGGGTTACTAAATTAACTTTTCAGTTAAATGTATGCAGAATTGGTTATTATTTCACTCACTGGAAAGTCCATTTCATCCATTCAGCTCACAATTACAGTCAGTTATCCATAAACTATGTTTATCCAAGCTACTAAAAATTTAAATACGTCTGAAGAAAATTTGATAAATGTGCAAAACAAAACTATTGCTGCAATATAAATCATACTTTTAAAGGGCCAAAGCTTAATTTGGCTTCATTCAAAATTCGCTGACCCTGTCACAGGCCTGTGTGTGTAGCAGTACTTGTTCTCATATAAAGTATAACTGTTGATAAATGGAAATTAATTTCTTGATTTCTTAGCTATGATATATTCAGTGCTCATTTTTAAAGACAACCACAAACACTCAAGTAGAGTTGGCCAACTAGAATAGTGTGTAATCCAAGATTTTTTTCATTAAAATGTGTTTTAGTTTATACGATAAATGACAAAGGTCCACAAGCATCTATAAATATAGAAATTTTCTGTTTCAACAGGCAGGGCATAGGACCTCAGTGCAGTGCAGTGTTACACACAAAGTTTACCTTGTTGTCCAATGGAACTGATTTACATAGGTATTCACTGATAAATTAATGAATGTAAACTGAAAATACGCTTTTATCGTGGAACTTGACTCTAAGGAATCTTCAGATTGATTATAATGTTCACTGCTGTGCACATTTCCTCCTAGTACCCACTGCCCTTGTGGATGTTATTCATTATCTAGCGGAATCTGGCATGATGGACTTTGTGGCCGTTAAAAATGTCAAACGGCACATTAATCACCCGAGTCGGTACTTTAGGCAAATAAAATCGTTATGCACATGCATGGTCATTTAAAAGTAAAGCATCGTGTAATGTTTGCAGCACAAGCTGTTATTCGACATTTTAAATGACTTTTACACGACGCTATTGGTTTTACGTTCAAATGAATTACTAACAATGGAGACTTAATTGCAATTACCGAGTATCTGTCCAAAACTCTTGTTAAGAACATCAGACTGTATTTATTGCGCTTGGCGTTGTCTTGGCGTACTGTTATTCAGGCGGTGCTGGCGGCGGAATGCAGCATCATTCTTTGGGTTATGGACGTGCGGTAGCAGCGACACGGACGAGGAGCGGCGTACTTCACTAACCCCCTTCTGCTTACTCACTCTGGCGTATCGAGTATTTCACTATTTTAATCTATAGTGAATAATCTCCCCTCCATATCAAGCAATATACTTTAGAACGAAGACCTTACATCCTATAAATATAGCAAATACAGGCCTATATATTCCAGAAATATCTATTAGCCTACTATAGTAATTGTGTAATAGACGTAATATCATAAGTGTTGTATTAGCAATTAAGATTAACTGGATCCTGCATTCAAAGTAAATGTATATACCATAAGTAGCATGATTATTTTCCCCTTCATTTTTTTTTAAATTAAGGTAGGGCACGCGCTTTACTTTTGTGATGTCGCGTGAGAAGCTACACCTGAACGTCTCGCTCAACGATCACAGAAATGTTTTAGAAGAAGCGAGTTGTAACCTGGTCATTGTGTTTTTTTCTATAAATATATGTAAAGAACTGGGATTCTGTGCCGTAGCGAGCTGAATCCAACAAAACGTGGACTGGTTCCACAGTTTTTTGCGCTTCCTGCAGTGAGTCAACCGTCTTTCCTAAGGGACTTCCCAGTGCACTTTCTATCCTGCGGCAATCCCGCCCTGTTTTAAATTCGACCACCACCTGTAGTTCATAAATCCAACGCTGGTTCCAGCATTATGAGTGCCCGTATGCCCAATAAGTCACAAACAAGGTTTAAAAGACATCTAACCATACTCTGACGGTGATCCCAAATACCAATGCCATTTTGCATTCAACATATTTGTACTAGCCACTGCACAGCGACACGATTTATTTTAAATGCCCAGTCACTCAAGCATCATTATGCAAGTAAAATATAGCACAAAGCATAATAGTGTGTTTCTTACAAGGACTGCTGGCGGAGACCCGAGATCTTCTCGGTGAGAAGGACTCGTTCTGATCCGATTCGTAGGCAGACGCAGTCAGCGCAAGCAGCAGGAAAAGTCCGCTCCTCTGAAGCATGGTTTAAAAAATGATATGGAATGTCTTTATAAAAAGGCAAAATGAAACGTGTAAATGAATCCTCCTTATGTCGAACTTTAATGTATTTACTATTGCGTTTTGCAGGTATATTTTACGGAGGTTGCCTCTTCTCGTCTGTTCTTCTATACAGTAAAGTATTGCAACCTATTTTCTTGTGCATGTTGGAAGGAGCGCAGGGTCCAGTTTATATAGGCATTCTGTATCAATGATAACATGTAGCGCATCACGAGCCCGCCGCTTAGTCCAATCAAATCACAGCATAGCATAATTAGAATTTTACATCAAATCGCTGTATCTTTCAGAAAGTTTTCGGGTGTATCTTCATAAGTGATCTGTACTCGATATTGGATAATGCAACTTTCCAGATCATGAGTTTAATTAAAATAACTTTTTGAAGAATTTCCGTAACAGCCACGCTTTTTTTCTAGCCAAAATCGTTACTTTGAAGTGAGGCATCTTAAGTAACGTAGTAATTATTTAGTATATGTCTGTGTGTGTGTGTGTGTATATATATATATATATATATATATATATATATATATATATATATATATATATATATATAGTTCAAAGGATAACTAAAACGTAATTGTGCTTAAACCTGTTCCTTCGTTTATTCTTTCAATGTGGCAGTTTTACATTTGGTATTCATTTAGTCATCTTTATATATGCTTATTTAAAATCACAGATCTCTTAGGTTTTCTGTTAGTAATGTACCGTCATAACATTTATAATCAATCAAGCGTTACGCTACTCTTGATATTAACAGTGATGATCATGAATATCTGAGCTTATTGAACATCCTTTTATGTTTTAATCTTCCTATGATTATAAACACAGAAGTAAAGAAATACTATCGTCTTGCTTCCGTTGTAGCTGTGTAATGTTTAGTGGCATCGGTATCGGCAGCCATTTACAAGTATGAAGTTTTTTCCAATTCACCTCGCGTGTGCTGCTGCTGAAATGGACACATTATTGGGGAAAGGAACGGAAAAAAAAACCATCGGTTGTGTGCCGTGTTGTGCGGAGATCTACTAATAATTATGGCTATAGGACTAAACACTGGAGGATCACTGCAGAGAATCTCATACTACTGTAAGCGCAGTATGTACGACTACGTGGTACATCACCCACAGTACTCATGGCCATTAAAACTTTCCGATCTGATACGCATAATGAGTTGTACAACCTATTTATTTTGGCAGGTGCTCTGATGGTGCACCCTCTAATCTCACTTAAATTTTATGAGTGCTAGGTGTCAGAAGTTACAGTAGGTGTTTCATTTACAAGCCGGTGTTAATAGTCAAATGTAGCACGGTAAGTACCGCACTTAAATGTCTCTGAAAAACATCAGGTGGAATTATTCAAATGATTTTGGTATTATCTCGTTGGCATTTAGCTGAACCGTACTTATTAACGAGACCTTTGTTGATGGAGTGAGCTGGCTGTCTTCAACTTCGAGATAAACTGCGCGATTATTGAGTTGCATGGTGTTGTGTATGGAAAGCTGCCTTTGTTGACTTTATTCCTTATTACTTCCTAATGGCGGAGAGATATGCGAAGCTACATCAACTACAGCGAGGACTGGTTGCCAGTGCCTAGCGTGTCGGACGCCGTAGGCTTGAATGCATGTTGCTGTCATTTTGAAGAACTGGCAGTGTTTTTTTTTTTCATTGAAAATAATTTTTGTATCAAAAAGCCTGGCAAGATCAAAGAGAAATACAAACAATTGTAGTATATCGTAGTATATGCCTTTACAATGAGTAATGAAACTTGATTCAAACATAATTGAGATTGGTCTCCCCCCCCCCCAAAAAAAAGAAAAAATGTTCTTTCCAGTGTGCAATGCGGACCTTTACTTTATTTTCAAATATAAAGCGGAGAGCCAAAAATCGTGGTGGAGAAAGTCAATGACTGTAATGTAGGTGTGCCATTGTTCCTCGTACCATGAGAGAGAAAAGTACATAGCTCTACTAGGAATAACGTGTAACCTAAATTCGAAGAGTATGCCTTTGTTATATTATTTTCCGAAACCAATATGGATGTATAGCTTATGAACTCGTTATACGTAATCACTTGTCATCGTTTTATCGTATGATATCAGACTTACGTTAAATAAAGGTGTTCCGTGTTTGCGTCATGATTAAAATACTTCACTTCGACTATCTGTCGAAGGCGTCCAACCTGAGGTAAAAGTATCTTTTCCATCACTCACATTCTTCTCATTTAAGAGGTATACTGCGATTACTTTTAGGTCATTAAAATCTATTGTAAAACTATATAATGGAAAGTAGGTATCAAACAAAGTGCATGTTAGAACAGCTAAATGAATTAATTAACATATGATTTTTTTTTTTAACGCTGACTTAATCGGTTTCATTTGCATGAGGTTCCAGCTCCTCTTATGTTCAAGTCTGTTAGTCTCCGGTTGGGTTGGTAGCTTGTTATATACTTCTCTGCCTAGTCCAGAGCGAGTTCGACGGGAGAGATATTGTGCATTTCCCTTCTTCTCTGTGATTTTCATTCTTTGGTCTCTTGGAAAATCATGATTATGAGAGCAAATGCTGAGTTTTATTGTTAATAAGCATGGGATCCTGTTCCAGTATCTGGCCTTCCTGTTGGCCTCAAATGATTTCCTTCAACTGATTGCTATGCATCGAATAATTAACCAATTAACATCGCTGCAGCAGGGCCCTGCATTTAGCAGATTGGAAGGACTGCCTTTTTTGCAAGCTCATAAAGGATAAAAGTCTGTCCCATCATTTACAGTGAGCAGCCATAACATTAAAACCACCTACTTAATATTGTGTACATCCCATTTGTGTGTGTTAGGGCAGAGTGGTGTCTCTGAGGCTAGGGATCTGTGCCAGCAATCGGAAGGTTGCTGGTTTGAATCCTGTGAATGGCAGCAGTGATCTTGGGCCCTTGAGCGAGGCCCTTAACCAGCAATTGCTTTGTCCTGGGTATGATGTTAATCTCCATCCAGCCCTGCAAGGAGGTCCTCCAACCTACAGGGAATTTTGGGGGTTGGTGGCAGGATTGGCACTCCAGCCACGAGAAAAAAACTCACACTGGTGTGGGGCTGAGATATCACCTACTGCACTTAGGTTCCTCAGGTGATACCTCATTCATCATTAGGTTCACTTAGGCCAGGACTAGGTGGTGCAGTGGGTGTGGCAATGTGCTGTAATCAGTGTGCGCGTGCCCCCCCTCCCTTACCTGCCTCTTGTGCTGCTAAAAAAGCTGTGTTGCTTAGAGGTATGGACTCCACAAAACCTCTGAAGGTGTCCTGTGGTATCTGGCACCAAGACATTAGCAGCAGATCTTATAAGTCCTGTAACTGTGAGGTGTGGACTCCATGGATTGGACTTGTTTGGCCAGCACATCCCACAGATGCTCAAATGGGTTGAGATCTGGGGTATTTGGAGGCCAAGTTAACACCTTGAACTCTTTTTCATGTTCCTCAAACCATTCCTTGGCAATTTTTGTAGTGTGGCAGGGCGCATTACCCTGCTAAAAGAGGTCTTGCTATCAGGAAATGTCGTTGCCAAGAAAGGGATGTTAGGTGGTATGTGTCAATGTAAGATCCACATGAATGCCAGGACTCAAGGTTTCCTAGGAGAACATTGCCCAGAGCACCAGCTTCCCATACTGCATCCTGGTGCCATCTCTTCATCAGGTAAATGAGGCGTATGCACCTGGCCATCCACATGATGTAACAGGAAATGTGACTCATCAGATCAGGCTACCGTTTTCCATTGCTCTGTGGTCCAGTTCTGCTGATCACATGCCCATTGTAGGCTCTTTGGGAGGTGGACAGGTGTCATCATGGGCACTCTGTATGGCTACGCAGCCCCATATGTAACAAGCTGCAATGCATTGTGTGTTCTCACATATCTGTCATAGCCAGCATTAAGTTTTTTTTTTTTTTTTTTAGCAATTTGTGCTGCAGTAGATCTCCTGTGGGATCAGACCAGATGGGCTATCCTTCACTCCCCATAAGCAATGGCCCATGGCCCCATCGCCGGGTCACCAGTTGGCCCTCCATGGACCATTTTGGTAGGTACTGACCACCGCATACTGGGAACTCCCTACAAGATCTGCCATTGTGGATGATCTAACCTAGTTGTATAGCCATCACATTTCGGCCCTTATCAGAGTTTGTTCATTTTTCCTGCTTCCAACACGTCAACTTCAAGAACTAACTGTTAAACTTGCCTAAAATATAATGGCATCCTTGACAGGTGCCATTATAACAAGATAATCAATGTTATTCGCCTCACCTGTCAGTGGTTTTAATGTTATGGCTGATCAGTGCGTTTCCACTGTTAAGAGAAGCAAATTGCATGAATGCAGCCGTAGCCTGTGGAAACGGCCTGGAAGACTGGAGTTAAACCACGACTGCACGTGTGCGTGTGTTACAGAACAAAAAAAAATTATGCAGACGTAGCATTTCTGAAAACGAATGAAGCAAACAAACAAAAGGAATGAACAATGCTGAAAGATCGGCCAATTGTTATCAGGCTGAATTTGGAATTCTGAGCCTGTATAGGAAAAATATCAATGTAATACTTTTTTTTTTTTAATGTATGTAGTAATGTTCAAGTCCAAAAGCCAAAGCAATGGCTCTGGGTTTAAGGAGGGTGAGAAGAAACAACCACAGCATCTTGTTTTGTTTAACAATTGAAGGCCTGAACCCATTTAATAGCTTTTTTCTTTTATGTAGCCACTGTTTACTGGAAAATTCTTTCGGGGCATGAAGTACTCTAGTTTAGCCTCCGTCCCCCCTACCACACGCACATAACTGTACATATGTGGGAAACACGCATCGCAGTTAATTTTCGGCTGAGAAATTAATTCCAAATCCTTATTTTTTACTGTTATTCATGGTGGCTACATTTTTTACTTTTATTTGTTTTGATTGTTGGTTGACGGTTTCAATTTATATTAATATCAAAGAGCAGTATCTCCCGACATTTTGAAGACCTATATATAGGTATATATCTAGTATATATCTGTTTTCTCAATAAGTACAAGGTAGTATCTGTATATTACATGCAAAGTTCATAGGCAGGGATTTTGGGCCCAATGAAGGTATATCATAGTGGGTCCCGACACCTGACCAATCCAATCATCTTCCATATTTTTAGGCCCCCCAGGGAGCTTCATCTTCACCTGTGATGTA